TGCGAGTAAATCATGTTCGGTTAGGGTCTCTGGTGCACCTACCTCGAGCGTAGTGTCAATTTCTTACAAGATAGTACTAAAAGCAACGAGTGAAAGCGCCTAATATAGTCGCGATTAAAGTCATGCTACCCTTGACTAATTGTACCGGAAACATGGATACATCCTAAGCGTACCCGATCCTCGTGGCTTATCAATATAATTAAAATAGATAACTCAGGGATGAAAAACATGAAAGCTGTATTCATTGGGGTCGGATGGGTGCTGAAATCATAATGACATTGGAGTTGCAGTTAATCCGGTCTGCTGTGTTCAACGTTGTGATATGAGCGGGAGTTTAGTGGGAAGCTATTGCTCAATCCTCATCAAATGAATCAAGGATGTGATAACACGTAAGGTAGTTGGAGTGAAAAGCCCATAACCTTGATCTGTCAGAAATAAAGATGTCTAATGAACATCTCCTGGTTCGACCAGAGATAACCGAAGTGGCTGGGTTAAAGTATCATCTCAACTCTAACCGTTTTTGTGTCACAAGAACTTTCGGCCACGAGACTCAGTTCGCAAATCGTCCCAGATGAAAAGAATGTGATCCAAAATAAACCAAGCTAGTCAAATCAAGGGAGTCTAAGAAAATATCCACTTTGGCATATAGAGCAATTTATATTCAAAAGTGAACGCTACGCCTGTCTTCGTAAGATGGCACCGTCACTTCGGTAGTCTCTGGTGCTTTTCCACAAAGTAGACTGAATGAGTCAGTGAACGTGAATGGCGTTCGGCACTGAAATCGTATACGTCCGTGTGTGTGTGTGTGCGTGTGTACCGTTTGCAGGCTCATTCCGATTTCAGTGCGTACCGCTTGAGTAACACCTTGGTATGTTTTCTCACAAATCATAGGAATGCAGCACTATTTGTGCTATCTCGGCATTACTACGCTATGCCTCACGACAGCAATTCTTGGGGTCTAAACAAACTGTTCCTGTCCACGTATATTGTACATTTGTAAAGATGTACTTTGTTCTTTGCGGTGCACACTTTCATGTAATCTCTTGAATGGCTTTTCTATCCGCTGTTCTCGTACGACTAGAGAGGGGCTTGTTTCATGAAATGTCAATCTTTTTAACTATTTAGTATGCAGCACACAATCAGCTCTTAGAGTGGGAGCTCAGATGGTCTAGTTTTTTTTCTTGACGGATGATCGTGATTTTGGATGGATACCACACTTAAGCTGCGATGTTTTCTGGTGTAGCAGATGGTTACTGGCCTATATGACAATAATGTTTATGGGACTAAAAAGTTGCCTGTTTTTACATTGTTCACTCGTCGTTAATCGTCTGTCAGTTGGAGGATTCAAACTAATCTTCATCTCTTGAACATGTAGATGTCTGACAATGGCACGCAGCCTCAAACACGTTCCCGACGCCCGAAACGGTTGCCTGTAAAGACCAGTGATGTGAGTCTTTGTTTGGAAGTTGTCAATGGGCATGGAGTAATTTCGCACTAACATGAACTTAGGGCATGCATTTATCCTCTTTGAAATATATATATTTACGCGTATCCATTTCGCTTTGACTCAAAAAATGAAGTTCATTGCAGTTTAATTGTGTTGAGGTAATAACTGAAAAAATTTCCCGTCTCTCATCGATTATCACGAGAACACAGTAATGGGAAAATAAACTGAATGCTTTTCTTGTTCACGGTTTTTATATTCATTCATCTTGTTGCATTATGGGGATGTAATCAATACGCCATTCTCGTTCCGGCATGAAAGACGATAAACGCATGTCCTATCTCCGGTCGGCATCTTTCATTTGTCGATATCGCCCGTGTATTTACTCATATCTCCCTGAGTTCCGTTGAGTTCATAATCTCAGTATTCTTTCCAATAGTTGCTTTCTTTGATGATGCTCTGGCTACACACGCACACACATGCATTATCTGCTGCTTTTCATTTTCAATCCAAGGTTACTCTTATTTTATAATTGTTTAGCTTTGTGACTGCGTTCGCAAACAGGGCCTGATAGCCTCCGATAGAACTAACGTTTTATATTTAAACATGTTCCAAAACTACACGCATTAGGTGATCCGCACGTTCCCACACGGTCTGTCCACATTGAGGCTTTTCACGGGTGTCCGGTAAGTAGGTGAATACAAACGTTCTGGCATTCCGACAACCGGAATTGTAGTAAGCTGCACCATTTCCATTTTCCATCCTCGGACTACTGGCCGCACACACAAACTAAGCTGTTCTATACTTCTCTCCGCGTTGAGAACACTGATCGATGGGCGATCTCCTCCGATTCAGCATTACCCTATAGCGATGGGATTGAACGAAAAACGAGAATATACCGTCACTGCGATGTTACCTCGTCATGTGATTTGTTCGAATTCCTAACCCATTATTGCACTTTATCCTTAATCGCACACAGTACCGCTTTCTGTTACACCACACCCCCACTTCGTTATTGTCCACGTAATCAAGTAGATGTTTTCTAGCGTTTGTCTAATAGTGGGGGTGGGGGTCAGTTATTGAAGCAAAAACATTAGGTTGCCCGAACAATTCTCGCTCTCAGCTTCTGTCCAAGTGCTCCGATACTAATAAAACCTGGTTGCTTATATCATTTTTATCACCTGGATTGTCACTTGATACAAACTGATACATGTCATAATCTGCTCGTTTTAAAGTGACGAAAACACAGCCAATGAGTGTTGTAGAACAATGCAACACGTACAATACATAGTGGAGAAATTGATTAAAATGATTCCCGCTCATATGTTTGCAAAGAGACGATCAAACCAGGTATTGGTTGGCCGATTTTGAATACACGTATCTAAATGTGGAACAACCATTTGCATTTTTTGTGGTAGTCTAAGCTTATTTTATTTTGTGCACTGCTTTTTTTGCGACTGCTACTTCGTGACGTAAGGTAGACAATTGCAACATGGGCTTCTTTATAGCCCAGTTCTATGCCCATGGATTCTTGCCTAGCCGCTGAGTGCTGGAACCTCAGAGGTACTAAGAGACTAAAAGCAAATCGCTTCCGACTGAACATTATCCAGTGTACAGGCCAAAGAAACTTGAGCACAGTTCCGTGTATCATGATCAAGCGCGAAAGCTCTCATCAGATGGAATCGGGAAAGCCTTGTTGTTGTGATCAAACGGTTCAAATCACTATAACTGTCGTTCTTTGGGCCTTAAGGTTCTAGGTTCAAATATTACTATCGCCGTTCACCTTTCTTGCTTGCTTCACAGTCTTTTCTGGCCCAGTACGACCCCTATCCTAATGGAGCCTTATCTGATTCATCATTCCTAATCCAAGGTCTTATCTTTCCGGTTACTTTGAGTGAATAGTAGCTCCTCGTGACTATGTCGCTTACCCTCTCTTCTGGCTACCGTACAAGAGTATGTAATTGAAGTGCGTTTGTTGAATAGATGGTGGGGGATGTCATATGAGATAAACGAAGCATTGGTGACTCTGTGAACTCCGATCCTCTTCTTTTCCTTCAACTGAGCTACCCTGAAAGTCCCCAGATGGTTTACGGCTGTCATTTTCGTGATACGTAATGCCTCATAACAGTGTTCTCAGAAATCCAGGAGGTCAGTTATTTGTACAATTTGGCCATCTATAGAGATCCTAATTGTCCTTTATTCTCCACCATTACTGTCTTTTACACAGTAAAAACATGACCAACCAAAATTCACTGTCGTAAAGTAATACACATCAGGCTACCTAATTACTGTTTAAAATCCACCATAACATTCCTGTTTCAGGTAACCAGAAGTTATAATCTGCTAAAAACACGACAAATTTCCACTTGAAAAATGTCCAAGTGTTGTTCGACTGACTAAAAAGTGGAGGGTTTTATTTTAATTAAAAAAACTATTTTGAGAGAATGGGGAAAAGTGATCTAGTAAGAGGTTAATGGCAAATTTAAAATGTCATTCTGATTTTTAATCACTTAGTTAGCAATATACTTTACTGAATGTAAATTAGTATTACCTTTATGTGTTGTTGAAAAATTGACTCCTATCTCCGTCGTCACCCTAGGATAATGTCCTGGGAATTTCTTGGAAAGAGGAGAGAGAACTGCGTCGTGCCATCTATGTTTCTTTACGTGATCAACACCATCCATCACCAGGACAATCGTGGGTAATCTCGAAATTGCGTTCTCGTCGATCATCACGCACGAATCGATCTGACAATCTTCGACCGACCAATCCTCCGCCGGGCACTTATTTGCTTCGTGGCTCCCGCCAGCGTTTCTCCTCAGCCATTTCGGGAATCACGGATGTCTCAAACAACGTGCGACCTAATGGCAATAATTTGCGGCGTGCGAAACTGAGGGCCACTGCTCGTTTGAATGGGATCACTAGCCCCTTGAGTCGTCTGAATTCACCAGATTGGTCCAGCACGTTCTCTAACGGTATCCCTAACTCTTCCCCGACCACGTACACGAATATGCCCGTCAAGCGCAGTGATGTGAGTATTTGCAGTTTCTATGTGTCCACTGGTGTCCACTATAGATAATTAGGTTTGAACAAGACAAAGAGCTACAGCAATATTGTTGTGCTATACTTTACACAAAATATCGTAGAATGTGCACTTTGATTGACCAATGAATTTTTCTAAATGAATGTTTGTTTTCTGCCCTATAGGAAACTTCCTGATAATTGCCATTCATTTTGACAAAGTCGACTGACAGAACGCTGAAAAAAGAATAAAACTATCAATGTTCCCCGCCGTCTTAATCATGGGGTTTTTCTGTGTTGCTAAAAGTCACGAAGTATATTGAATAAAAATTATACTTTCAACAGTAAAATCAATCATCAGTATCCAGTAAGTGGTTCAGTGCCATTTTCTATTCATATTTTGATCGACTGGTTAGCTGGAATTCATGCATTTTAGTTTGTGGATAATTCAATACGATCTTTATAGCCAAATGAGTTGGTGCTTTTGCGGACTAAGGCATCAATCGCGTTTACTCATCGAACGATTGTGTGTGCACGTTCTAAGTTCGATACTATTTGATCAAATGCGTTACTAACTGCGTAAAATTGGGCTGAAATCTCACAATCTATGGAATGCCCCTGGGTTCTTACTTTCCGGTTTTCCTGACCGAAGAAGGAGCTAACTTTGCGATTTCCATTCGAAGTCTTTGACTAGAAATTCGCACTTGCAGGGCAACAGGATCGAGCTCATAAACCTTGTCGACGGGGTCAAATGTCGAAAGTGCCCAACCTTGATACTCATTAAAGCCGATGAGTAACGTTGGAGTCTTGATTGCGTGGACGTGGTTTGTGCCTTTTCTTGAATGGTTTAAGATCAGTGTTTTTATTCAACTCCCCCAGGTGAAATAACGGCGGTTTTCCGACCCGGTTTTAATCCCGGCTGTTGTCTTCGTTCTGTCACCCTAGTAGGTAAAGCCCCTTCGCCTCGTAGAGTCATCGGGTAGGGGTTTCGTCAGCAAAACCTGTTTGAGATGTTTGGTCATTGCGGAACGAGGTTCAAGGGAAGGTCGACCAGTTACCACCCAAGTCACCCATTCCCGAATATTCGGAGGCTGGGCGTATCTGTTTTTATTCGCAGTTAGTATCGACTTCTCATTTTGAACAATCGCCATGCTTCTGGCGTTTTGGTATCTCATACAAATCAGTCATAGTCCCTCTCCCGCTTCAATGTTAGTACCATACACTGATGAGTGTGATTCTCTGATATTTTTGCGCTTCATAGGGGACTGAGAAACACACGGAGGTCCACAAGGTTCGGTGCACCGCAATGCTTCGGTCTACGGTGATATTCATTCGTATGTCGGGAGGCGCGCACAGCTCACTCTGCACCATCTGAGCAGAATGATGATAGATGTAGTTTTGTCTGGTTTTGATGTGTTTTGTCAGTGTAACATTTCGCGTACAAAACAACCATTTTGTTGTCTTGAATGTTTTAGTGTGGTATATCATGCAGACCTAATTATCTGAGCGCTTGGTTGTACACGAGA